TTTGAAAATTTCCGTTTTAGTAGACTATGTTTGGGCTCTTTATGAACTCAACTGTATAATCACTGGGTTTTTGACTTAAGAACTAATGAGTGTAGCATGTGTTGATGCCATTAAAGAGTGTTTGAATGTCTTGGGGTTGGGGCACTACTAGTAATTTTGCTAATGTCACAATGAGCACATAAAAGCTCAGACTTTGAGGTCAGGGCATAGCCAATTGGTAGCCATGCATCTCTTCTGATGATGTGTATCCAAGTTCAAATACTCTCTCCGCCAAATGTTTTAACGGATCAAGTGAGTGTGCCTGGAACAACCATCAGTACCATTGGCTGAGTTCATTAGTTGAAATATGGTTTCCAATTTTTTCCTTTTGACTTGGCAAAATATCTGCACTTAACTTACCCAGAACTGCATGGATAAGTTTGTTATGGCCTACACACATGTTATACAAAACAGGATGTAGATGACATCGATGGTAGTTTCTATTGTGATTATTAAGAACGGAAAATTAGTTTCACGTGTATTGGTGCTTAGATCTGTATCCATCACACATGCTGGTTATTGTGTTTAACATGCTGAATTATCGTAATTCAGCTAAGGGATATGGTATCATGCTCTACCTGTATGATATACTCTTAATATGATATACTCTTAGTAATTTGAGTTTCCTGGTGTAACTTTATACAATTCATTATGATTTCCCTAAAATCCTAACCTGTTCAAACATCGCTCCCACCCAAAAGCAACCTAATCTCTTCATTAACATTTATTATTATATGATTTTGAATGTATGTTCCAAATTCTAATGCTATTAGCTTTCCCCTGATATGTAGGCTGCAAATATCGTTTCCTCAAGCATACAGCCTCTGCAGAATCTGGCTATACTGGTAATTAGCTGGATCAAGTGTTTGCTTGCTTTGTATTGCTTTGATTGTCAAAAACTGAGCTTCTTATGGTATTATCATATAAAAAAATTGATATGGATATTGTTTTGCTGCTTTTCCATTTACAGAAGTACATTGAAGAAAAAGTTAGTCCCGAAGAGAAACTTGAATGGGCTAAAGTTCATATTGGAAAAGGCTTTGCAGGTAAGAAAATCTTAAAGGAGATTTGAAAATAGGAATGCAGGTAAAACTGGTTTAGTCACAGATGATGTCATTTTTCAAAATAACAAGACCTCTTGGATTTAAAGTTTTTGTATCCTATGAAAGAAGAAAAAAGTTGTAGTAATATTTCCACTCCAATCTTGCTTCTCCAGACCTCAAACTCACCCAAATGTGCGAGACTTGTCAAACCACATTTTTATTTTCTGTGGAAGATCGTGCCTTATATAAATCCTGTCTTGCTGTACTGTTCTTCTTTTCTATGAATGGTTGTAGGCTTAATAATCTGTTTTCTGTATGTGTTTCAGCTCTTGAAAAACTGCTGAACAACTATGCTGGGAGATATGCAACTGGGGATGAAGTTTTCTTGGTCTGTTTGCTCATGTTGTCCTTTTTATTTTCTTCTCCCCTTTAAGAAAAAGGACTCACCATCTTATTTTATTTTGGAAAATCAGAAAACTCTTAAAAACATTTTAAAATAATTTGACCAACAAAATTGTTTCAATAACCAGAAAAACCATTGATGTGGCAGGTTTGAGGACTAGGATACTCATTCTCTTGGTTATGTAGTTTTAGATGATGGAAATTTTGATAACTAGAAGAGGTTAAAGGAAATGAAAGTTATATGGTTGCTTTAATCTTAAAGATATTAGAGAAATAAAGAATAGTAGGGAGGAGAAGAGAGATGAAAGTAAGAACATATCAAGGCACCAAGAGATATAGGCTTCTAATAGAACTCCCAAAGATTCCTAGTAGTGCTATAAGACCCCATTAAAAATGTTTTGGTGTATTCAATATAGACTTTTACAGTCCATAATAGTTTTGTGGTATTGAATTAGGATTTTTAGAGAGTCCATAAAACTGTTGTGGTATTCAATTGATAAGACTTTTAGAAAGTTTTGTAATATTCAAAAATTCATTGGAGTCGTAAGGATTTTATTAAACGGTGTATTTATATAAAAAAGAACAAGAACAGGTGGACTTTGGAATAGAAGTACAGATACCGAAGTCCATCACTTCTCCAGCCTCAAGGAATTCAGATGTACTTTTCTTTTCTTACAACTCTCAAACTTTGAACTCCTTAGCTTCATCCTCCAACCGACAGAACTCACTAATTTGCAGCCTTACCCCTACTCGTATTAAAGGGGCAATCCACTGTCTAAGAAGATGGTGTTTCCATATGTAATTTTTTTCAATAAAAGCCTTACATGAACCCTACAGTTTGAGTTGCATGTTGAACATTGCCACTTTACTTCCTAATTTTCCAAATAACAAGTGCTAGTGTGAAATTCCTCAATGTATGAATACAAATAATAATAATAATAATAATAATAAATCAAATAATGAAACATTTTCTCAAATATTTGCAGGCAGATTTGTTTCTAGCACCCCAGCTTTATGCAGCCATTGGAAGGTTCCATGTAGACATGGTACTGCTCATTCTATTCTTGTGCCAGTTACAACTGTAGCAAATGTGTATTCATTCTTGATTGTGCAAATTTATATTTATCTGATTTGTAGGTTGACATTTCCTTAATTTTTTTTTTCATTTTCGTGTGACAATGGAAACTAATCCAATTTGGTGGTGTTCTGATGTTTCCATCACATAATCAAGTTATTATCTTCTTTTTTTTGGGTCATAAAGCAAGTTTCTATCTGTGTCTACTTTCAGTAGCAACCTGTCTTTCTCTTATTTAAGTACTTTATTAGAAACAGTATCAGCTCGTCTTTGACGTGCATGTCTTTTGTTATTATATGAATGGAAGCTGCATTGTTCTCCCATTGACATGAAGTTTATAGTGGTCATTCTTTAGGGTTTTTTTTATAAAATTTTTATTTATTTATTTATTTATCATGGTAGGCTTGCCATAAAAAAGGTATTTACAGAGACATCAAACGCCTCTGTCCCTAAGAAGAATATTACAATCAGCTTATATGATTCATTCTTTCATTTCTCTATGTGAACTTAGAATAACCGTATTTTGCCCTGCTATGGGACTTTGTATCACTCACTAATAAAATTCAGGTGAGTTGGTGGGAAGAACTCAGTTTAGCTCAAGGCCTAGGTTGAAGTCTCATCAATTCATTCAGTGTAGTGAGCTTCTGACTATATATCTGACTTGGGTTTAGGAAAGGAGATAAGGGGTCTTTCTCACCCTTTCCAATCAGCCAAAGAAGAAAAAAGAAAAGGAAAAAAAAACTGAAACAGTCTTTCACCTTTGTGTTCAGCAATTTTGAACCCTGTCCTGGTCTTGGGTGTTCCTCCATTTTCATCCACCAGCTGCTCTTTCATTTCCTTCTTTATAATTGTTATTTATTTATTTTAATATTTCTGGTGGCTGTCCTCTTAGATATTTATCTAGTTTTTTGAGACCTTTTGCTCAAAACTTGAAGTGGCTTTCCACATATACATCTGCTGATAAATTTATTTTCCATCAAATGTTGTGCAGACTCAGTTTCCCCTTTTGGCCAGGTTGCATGAGGCATACAGTAAGATCCCAGAATTCCGTGATGCTCTACCAGAAAACCAGCCAGATGCTCCTTCTTCATAGTTAAACCAAGGGGTTCAAGAGGTAAGAAGTAATATTTTATAAGTCTCCTCTGTTGGTTAGATTATACCATTTATCCAAGTGTTCTGGTTAATTGAGGCACCTGTTGAATATGTGAGGCACCATAAGAATGCCGATGCCGTTTGCAAATCTATAGTTTCTTTTGTGTTGATTGGTGCTTCAAGGTTCCATTTAAAATTGTCATTTCCATTCTTCTAAAACTTCCCCTTTTTTAAATTCAGATGAAACGTGCCAGTCCCAAAGTGCAGCATAAAGTGCCTCATAATTAAGGTTTGAAATGTTGTCAAGTACTCAGGTCAGGTGTTGAAATAAATGTTATTCCATGATGGATGTCGTAAAGTAGTCAGGTGCTGTAATAAGTGATATCCCCTGATAGAACTGGAGGGTGTTGTAATGTAAAATATTGAGTGATGTAGCGGTTCGGATTGTCTGTCAAAATAGTCTTGGGGAGTAGACTTGTACACATCCTGTGTACTTGAACAATACAGCTTATGGTCTTTTCCATACAATGAATTGTTATGGTTATCAATAAAGAGAACATCTAAATATGTTTTCAATTTGTTTTCTTGTGCTCTCCAGTTGTCTAGCAATCGGGTGTATATATTTGCTAAATGGTTTGTTTGTGTGTGTATTCCAAACGAGAGAGAAAGTCCCAACCACACCACCCCTAGCATGAATTGGAATTTTTAGCTCGGGTGTTTTGGATTCTGGTGTATATATGCTTGGAAACGAATCAAACTGCGTAAGCTTCTTATTTTTCCCCTTCCACATACCCCATACAAGCAACGCATTGTTTTTCTTCTTAAATGCTTGGAAACCCAATCCGTCCCCTGTATCAGGCACGCCTCAGATTGATAAGAATCTGATCACATTTGACCGGTTATATGTCGTGGTTGCCTTTCTGTCGTGTGTTGGCGCCTTCATGTTTCAAAATCGTCAACCGAATTGAACTCAATGGTGTTGTTTGTTTCAGTTAGGGCTACCCATTTTCGTTGTAATAAATTCATTAAGTGCAAGGAACAATAACTTTGGGGCATTGCTAGATTATTTCTTCAAACAAATTCATTTCAGGCTGCATGAGAACTCCCGGGGTAAGTAGTACTAGGCTAGCTGAGTTTAGCCTCTATTGGCCATCTTTCAACTTGAGGATAAGAAACAAAGCACGGAATGTTGAGCACAATAGCTTAACAAAGCACCGATTTGATTCTACTTTGTAAATAATAAAAAACCCTGAATTAGACTGACTTCCCTTTGTAAAAGCGTTTTTGACTTACACAAGTAGTTTTTCAGTATTTATGGTTTCTTCCAAATCTTCCCACTTAACAAGAGATAAACGAATGGTCGTAGCATATGCTTTTCTATCTTCCCTTTTCCCCTCCAAATGAAGTTTTATTACAATTGGTATTTATCACAATTAGAATTGAGCCCCTTTTCTTTTCTCCAGTTTGTACAATATAATCAATCATGTTTCCCCCCCATCCCCATCAATTGGACAAGCTTGTGCCAGTTTCTTTAGATTTTCAATGATCATAACCAGTCTGTTGTTAAGTCGATTGACAAAGCACCTGGGCATCCATCCAGCAGGATCTAACTGGATCATGAAAACAAAGGAAATTAAATAGCAATCCTGCTATTATTAAATTAATGAATGTTGTTGTTAAAGAGTAAGAGTAGAGTACTAGTAGAGCACCTGAACAACATAGGTGACCATACAAGAGTCACCTTCAAGCTTCTCCACTACCCATCCTGATTGCAACAGCAGTCCCCTGATTGCATTATTTTGCTTTGGTTGCAATCCAGCAGCTATCTCCTTTGGAAGTGAAGCAACTGCTACCACCTGCGCTGCACATCCCCACTGTTAAAATTTCACGAATCATTCAAATACAATACGGAGTGTCCCTCCTACGTACCAGGGTGCCATCTTCCATGGTTTCACGTCGCTCATAGACTATGAATTCTCTATTTCTAAATAGAGGCTTAGCATTATCTCCAAACTTGAGGCGGATGATGCTGAGGTTATCTTCAAGATCTTTTATGTACCTTGCTTCTACCAGATCAGGATCCCATTGCTGCAGTAGCAGGTTGAATAAATTAAAGAAGAATCCAACAAAACAGTTACTAGTTATCTCTAAGCCAGCATCGATAAGTAAGTAGTTGACCTTGGCAGCGTCGATGGCATTGGCAACAGTAATGAATTGCTGGGGTGATACTGATGTGAGCAGCCAGCGGCTACGGAAGGTGTGAAAAGATGCAGTTTTTTCAGACCTGCGTTTTGATATCTCTACTTCGTTGTCGAGAGTAAGAACCTTCCAGCCATCATTGGCATTATTCCCGGTCCCAACCCTAGTGTCCCTGTTCGAGTCTGAAGCAGACAGTAACTCTTGTATGCAGCTTTCACTTGCAAACTGCACATACCTTTTAAGCGAGTCCTCACTTATGGACCTGTGAGTGAATTCATTTGTTGTTGTTGTTGTTAGTAATTAATTAATTACTCAGACTCATCATAGATAGTAGAGAAGATAGAATGAAAATGAATTAAGTAAGAAATGCTAGCTAGCGATTACCAGGATCGGCTGCAAGGTGCTGGACTGGTCATCTCTAATCTCTTGTCTTGTGGTGATCTGCTCTGCTCTGAATTGAATGGAGTTGGAGGCTTGTCTCTTTTCTTTTCTTTTCTTTTCTTTTCACATTAAGCTGCTTGCTTTAAGCTTAAGGGAGATTGTGACTTATTTGTGAAAGGACGGTGGAAGGATATATAAACAAACAAGGAAGAAAAGTTGATAAGTGTAGTAGTAGAATATGAATAATATCAAGTGGGCCGAGAGGTGATTGGAGCACATGCAATGCCAGAGGAACCTCCATGATTTGGAACTGCACTTGTCTCTCTCTCTCTCTCTCTCTCTCTCTCTCTCTTCAAAAATCAGAAGAATAGTGAAATGGGTGGATGGATGGATTGATTCTTTTGTTGTCAAAAAAGGGGTGAGAGCAAGGGTAGGGAAGATGATATGCACATGGAGTGTTGGAGGCTTTTAAAAATAAAACAAGGCAAAGAGTTGCAACTTCCAAGCAAGAGGACAGAGGAAAAAGAAAAACAGGCTAAAAACTAACAGAAACAGAGTGGCAAAAAAGAATGACCAATAGTAAGCTAGCTTAAGCCAAAGACTGTTTTATCATCTAAGCTTTGCCTGGTACCGGGCGACAAAGACGCCCCTCAAACACCCACTCTCCTTTGTTCATTAGGAGGACCCCCAATCACGTGCCTTAGGATAATAGGAAGGACCTTCTTCTCTCTCTCTCTCTCTCTCTCTCTCTCTCTCTCTCTCTCTCATATAACAAGCACATTTTAGATTAGGCCAGTTGTCCAGTGCAATAAAATTAATTAATATTCCAATCCAGTCATCTGCAATTGTATGCGGCCTGGATTTGTGAAATTTGGACTGATGCTCTTCATCATGCTTGTAGTAGCAGAATACTGTGATTGTGCAGCAAACAGAACACGAGAGAGCGAGTGTAATGGTTTTTGGGAACTAATTCACTAAAACAATTATAGTTTACTTTTAAATATGTATATATATGTATATATCATAATGATATTCCGACCCAGGATAATGCTAACTTTTGGAACCAACAAAAGAAAAGGCAATGATAAAAGGGTGCATTTCATTTGCACTCATTATTACTGCCAACTATTTTAATTGGATGGGAACATTTCCTGCTTCAAAAAGCCTTTAGCTTTGAGGCTCTCCACTGTGTCCCTGACAGCATCTTCAACTGGTTTAAAGACCATCCCCAGATCGATCAACCTCTTTGCAGCATCCTTGCATTCCTTTAGGCCTGGTTGGGTTTCCTCACTAAACCTGTAAGTCGTTCAAGTCAACATCAACATCAACATCTACTTCTCTCTATGGAACCAGTCAAACCAGTAACAATGATATGATTCGATCAACAGGAAGAAAAATGCTATCTAAATCTAAACATGTTCTACATTGTCACCAAACTGTACCGATACAAGTTGGTATCAATGACAACTTTAATTTTGTTTTATTGGATTATCTTTGGGCTCACTTGAAGCCTGTTTCCATCTGACATGCACTGCCCAATTAACCTTGGTCCAATTTGCCCCAAACAATTTGAAATTCTTACTATCTATGAAAAATTATGGAAAGGCAAAGCTAGTTATAAAAAGCCTTTCCCTTAGACCATACAAGACCACCCTAGGGAAAGAATGAAGAATTGATGCAATGAAAACAAAAGTGATTACAAAGTTGTTAAATTACACTACAAGAACTTCATGCATTCCAAGACATTAAAAGTAGTATAGACAATCTGGGTTGTGGTTAAGGCTTAAAGGTGTCACTCATAGTTGGGGCCCATCCAGGACCACCTCATGGTTTAGACAAAAAAAAAAAAGTAGTATAGACAATCATTAGATTGATACATATCATCTTTCAAATTCAAAATTGTCAAATCATCAAGACCCGGTGCTGTGAAGCCCCTTAGGACTGTCTTGAAGCAAAAAAAAAAAAAAAAAAAAGGGGAGGGGGTGCTTTAAAAAAAGGGTTTACTGTTGATTTACCCCCTGAACTTGTACGAGATTTTCAATTTGCATTCTCAAATTTTTTTTTTGGACAATTAAGTACACAAACTAATTTTTATTGCCAATTCCCCCCCCACCGTCTAAATCTCAACATTTCATCCAATTTGCCGTTAAATATGAGGGCAAATTGGTCATTTTATATGTTGAAATAATATAAAACAAAATAAAAAATTATTTTAATAAACAAAGGGGCCCACCCACTTCATCTCTTTCCCTTTTGTTGTAATTGAAAATACATAGGGGAGGGGGGGAGCTCGAATTGGAAAGGGAGAAAGAGAGGGAGGAGAGAGAGAGAGAGAGGAAGAGATGTGGAATAGGGAGGGTGGCTTGTGGAGGTCGTCATGGGGGAATGGGGAGAGAAGAAAACCCCAAGGTGGGTGGGGGTTTTTTTTTTTCTTTTTCGTTTCTGTTTTTGTTTTGTTTTCTTTAATTTTATTTTTAAAAATATAGTTTTTAATGATTTGACGGATTTATTAGATGACATGTTGATTTAGACGGTATGGAGGAATTGACAATAAAAATTAGTCTGTGTACTCAATTTTCCAAAAACAAAGGTGAGGGTGCAAATTAAAAGTAGCGTACAAGTTCAGGGGGATAAATCAATAATAAACCCTTAAAAAAAATGACACCTATAAGCATACGGAGTCCAGCTTCCAGAAAGAAAAAAAATACAAAGGCAATAATGAAAAAAAAAAAAGCATACAACTCGTAAAATAACTAACCAAAATAGAATGAGAGAATCTCCAATCTTTGTGTAGGTAAACAGCAATAACCAAATAATCATATAATGTAAATGAGGCAACAAGAGAATATAGTCAGTAGTGCACCGCATTGAATGAGATCATTGCACTGATATAAGGTATACTTCAAATTGCCCACTACTTGCAATACAACAAATCCATCACTTTTAAGTCCCATTTGAGGATCATTCAAGGATCTTCCGGTTCAGAACATTCCCACTGAAGAACAGGTTGTGGATGTTTTGACTAAAGGTTTACATAGTCCAATCATTGTTCATTATTGTTCCAATCTCAGGCTGCGATTCCCCAGCTGACATCGAAGGGGGATAAAGTTTAGAGAATGGTCATGTGCTGCTAAGTGATTGCTTAGCTATTAAGCGATATAGTCGGTTATGTGTCGTAAGCATTCTACTGAATATGTATACTCAGATAACCAAGGTGGTTGGTGTGAGTGATTCGGCACTCTCATTCCTTAAGAGAGGTCAGGGGTTCGATCCCTGCTCTCGTACGGAGTCACCACTTTGGCCAACACTTTACCCCTTATGGGCCGACCCGGTGTGAGTGGAGATTAGCCTGGGTTGTGGTTAAGGTTTAAAGGTGCCACCCATAGTTGGGGCCCATCCAGGACCACCTCATGGTTCAGACCAAAAAAATATATATATGTATACTCAGATTCTCTTGTAATTTCATTCATTCAGAAATACAAAACCAGAATATCATCTTCTGAGTTCTCTACTGTTGTGTATATATATATATATATATATATATATATATATGTATATGTGTATATATATATATATGTATATGTATGATAAAATCTAGCATATATAAAATCAACAAGTAAATAACAAAAAGTAGGGAACTTTGACACCAACCTGTGAAGTGGAAATTGAGGATAGAGTTTGGAGACCGTGTCAGCAAAGTGAGAAAATTGGAAGGTACCATTGGTGCAAAGGTACCTGCCAGAAGCAGCAGGAGTCTCAAATAGCAAAAGTTGTGCCTGGGCAACGTCTTGAACATGGACGGCCCCCAGTCAGTGATACTCTTGGGTATCGTCAGAACCGTGGAGCAAGTTGAGCAAAACAGCACAGCTTGCATTGAGAGTGCTAGGCTGCAGGAGCGGCCCAAGACATGTGGCTGGATGGATGGCCACTACATCCAATCCATGCTTCTCTGCAAAATCCCATGCTGCTTTCTCACCCAGTGTCTTTGACACTGGATACCATTTCTGTATGTACAAAATTAAATAATTATGAAATATGCACATTCATCCTCATGTTCATATCGGTTGCTAACAATTATACCTTTTAAAAAAAAAAATACAAGGATAGTCTAAATTACTCTAAATTAACCTAATTTACGGGGTGGGAATACGAACTTGGCTGCAAACTCACTGTCCTGGCCTAACCCACATCTGTGATAACGAATATACTATTAAAATGAATGAATTCACAATTTCGCAATGATCAGATTCAGAAGTACCTGGCGGGCTTTGCAGTAATCGAGGTCGGTCCAGGAGGACTCGTCGAAGGGCTTGTGGGGTGGCCAAGAGGGGTTGGGGACCATGGCAGAGATGGAGGAGGTGAGGACGACGCGCCTAACGCCGAAGCGCAAGGCGGCTTGGAGGACATTGAGCGTGCCCTGGACGGCGGGCAGCACTAGCTCAGCCTGGGGGTCGGTGGGGTCCTCGAGGGTGCAAGGGGACGCCACGTGGAAGACACCGTGGCAGTCCTCGATGGCTCTGGCGACGGCGTCGGCGTCGAGGAGGTCGGCCTCGAAGATGGTGATATTGATGTCGTGAGGAGGGAGGCCACAGGCAGCAGGGAGGTTGAGGAGGTGGGAGGAGTCGGAGGCAGGATAGACGGAGGCGTGGATGCGGGTGTAGCCCTCTTCCAGTAAAGTCTTCACCAACCATGACCCTATGAACCCATTGGCTCCAGTCACGCACACCGCCTCCTCCTTCTTCTCCTTCCTCTTCTTGTCATCCATTCTCTCAAGTCTCAACTGAGGTGTGTTTGTCAAGTGTCAAGTCTCAACTGAATCTCTCTCCTGTCTGCCTCTCTTCTTTACTTCCTTGTTACCGGATTAACCGCAACAGTCAATTAATGTGTTCCACCAAAAACACTCGAAACATTCTCTGCGCCATATCTCAAACACAATTCGGTTTCCATGCCGGCTAACAACTACTTTGCCCGTTTGGTTCACCAAAGGGATTTGAGAATCACTTCCTATGTCATTTCTTATGTTTGTTTTGAGTAGGCAAAAGGTCGTTTTTGGTCCCTGTAGTTTGCCATTTTTGCCACTTTGGTCCCTGTCGTTTCAATTTGATCAATTTTGTCCCTGTAGTTTTCAATTTAAACAATTTAAGGACAATCTTCAATTTCTGTCAAAATAGAGTAACTGTCGTTAGTTGTTGAGGGGCATTTAGGGTTTAGGGTTTAGGGTTTAGGTCAAAAACAAAGATAACCAAACCCCCCCACCCCAAAAAAAACCAAGAATAAAATAACCAAAAAAAAAGTAAAAGAAGATACCCAGATTATCCAAACCCCACCGCCACTATCATCCTCCCCGACCCCAGCAAGGAATTGGCCTCAGAATTAATGGTAAACAGTTATAGATATGGTTTCTCTGGGTTTGCAGCCAAGCTCACAGAGTTTCAAGCCAAAAATTTTCAGGTATATTTTAAAAATTATTGCTATATATACGTGCAATAAAGATATGTCTGGTTTGCAATGATTGACAATTATTTAAAATATAGATATGTAATAGATTCATGAGCTATACCTTCAGATGTCATCATTAAGTATTGTGCTCATTGCTTTTTATCCTTGCAGTTCTTGCTGAGAGTGTTCCAGTATTTCTTCAATGGCGTTCATGTAGTGGCTGCAAATTCCGGGAATTTTTTGAACCTTGGCGTTGTCGCCGCTGCGATTGATGACCATTTTGATGAAGCTGAGGGTGGGTTCAGAACAGAGGGCGAGGAAGGGGTATCCGGAGGTCGTCGCGGAGTGGGTGACTGCCTGGGTGTCGCGGCTAGGTTTGGGAGAGAGAGAGAGAGAGAGAGAGGTGGAGTTTATTGAGAAGTTTTGTGGTGGGAGGGTGGCAAGGGTTGGATATTGGGTGGGTGGTGTTGGGCAGTGGCTTGTTGGGTGGGGTTGGAGTGGTGGTGGGTGGTGATCTGATGGTGAAGTTAGGGGAGGGGGAGCGGACGGGAGAGAGGGAGAAGAAGATATTTTTTTATTATTAAAATTTTATTTTGTATTGCTTATTTTTAAAAGGAATTAATTTTTTAATAATTTGACGGAATTGCCCTTTTACAAGTAACGGAAGTTTAAAAAATTTGACAGAAATTGAAAATTGTCTTTGAATTGCTTAAATTCAAAACTACAGGGACAAAATTGATCAAATTGAAACGACAGGGACCAAAGTGGTAAAAGTGACAAACTACAGGGACCAAAAGTGACTTTTTGCCTTTTGAGTATAATGGAAAACAAAGTTTGTATAGTTTTCAATTATACCCATATTAGAGCAAATCCAGCAGCAAATTTTGGACTCGGGCTGGGGGGTCTTGGGTGAAAAGCGGGCTCCAGCAGCTAGGGCTAGCCCGAGTTGCTTGTGGGGGCCACGAAGATGGCTGGCCTGAGGGCAGGTCCAGCCCCATATCCAAAACTCAGGCGGGCTGACGTCATCAATGATGTCAGCCCTGTGCGCACCCAACGGCTCTAGGACACGTGGCGTCGTCTGGGCGCTCCGATCGCGATTCTCTCTCCAATTCAACGACAGCCAATATTTTTGCTATAAAAATATATATAAAAAATCCGAAATTTTAAAAAAAAAATACTAGAATTTTTTTCTATAAATACCTACAACTACTCTTCACTTTCAACACCAAATCCTCATACATTTTCTTCTACTTCTACTATTATTCACTTTTTACTCAACATTTTATTTACTTTCAAGTTTTATTTTTCTTTATCATCTTTATGACTTCTTTTATCGACGGTGTTGGGGCATGGAGAACCATGGAAGATGTTTTGTTGTGTGAGTGTTGGTCCAAATTTCTCATTGTCCCGTCACAGGCAATGAGATAAAATTCTTTCAAATGTGGAAAAAAATTCATTCCGAATTTTGTGAAAGATCGGGTTCGATCCGTACGGAAATGGCATTATCTAGTAGGTGGAAAATTCTCAATAAAGAGTTGGGGAAATGGAGAAATGCTTTGGCAAAAGCGATGGACAACCGTAGAAGCGGGGAAAATCTTACCGATAGGTAAATTATTTGTTATTTTTGTTTTATTAATTTCAATGTCCTCATATTTTTTTATAAATGTTTCTTGCATTGTCAATATTTTGTTAATATTTCATAAATACCCAATATTTTTGTTAATAGTTCTTGCATTGCCAATATTTTTTAATGTTTCTTGCATTGCCAATATTTTTTAATGTTTCTTGTATTTCCAATATTTTTTTATAAATAGATTGTGCAAGCACAAATGTGGTTTGGTGCTACTAGGCAAGGAAAAAAATCTTTTAACCATCATGAATATTGAGAGGTAGTAAAAAATTGCAAACATTTCATAATTATTCCCACGGGTCCGACCGTTGTGTTGAACGAGATGCCACTCTATAATTCAACGGCATCAGATTCGCCTCTCGATTCCTCGATGAGCGAAGACTCACCCATCCAAAAGGAGCCGAGGCCTATTGGGAGAAAGGCGGCAAAGGCGAAGAGAGTGAGTAATTCTACTAGTAATTCATCTAAATTTTTGGAGGAAATTGCAAGGCAAAGCGCCATGAGACTTGAAATTGAGAAGAAAAACCAAGAAGATGAGAGGATATTTCAAGCGGAATGTGTAAAAGAAAGGGAGTATGTACGCAAGCAAAACATACTCAAGCAGGATCGGGAAACCATGGCCATGGATACAAGCCATATGTCCCCTGAAACAAAACAATTTTGGAAGCTAGAACGAAGGGATGTTATGAAATGAAGACTTTTTTGTGATGATGGACCTAGCAACACGGATTGGTTAAATGATCAAAACCATTAAGTTAGTTTGCTTGTATTTTATTTTCATTGTATTTTAATGTTTTATTTTGAAAATTAGTTGTAATTCATGTATTTTATTTTCATTGTATTTTAATGTTTTATTTTGAAAATTAGTTGTAATTCATGCATTCAATAAAATACCTTTTTATTAAAAACATTCCATACATAAAAAAAACAAACCACATCCAAAGCAATAAAAATAAACAAACCACAACCAAAGCATTAAACAAAAAAAGCATAACAAAAAATAAAACATAAACATAATAAATAAAACAAACTTCTTCCCTTCACTTCATTCACCGTCATTGCCTTTCACCGCCCATAAATGCTCCATCAAGTCAACTTGACGTCGTTCATGAATATAAGACGATTGCATCTCCGTATATCGATCAATCATACGGGTCATTACACCACCGTCCCTAACCAACGGTTCATGCTGCACTGGTTCTCCATTTGGCCCCATGGGTTTTTCATAAATTCGTGTCAAGGCCGTGTTCATTGGATCCGGTTCATACACGTCTTCAGAATTGTAATCATACTCATCCTCCACAATCATGTTATGGAGGATGATGCATGTCATCATTATGCTCCTCAGCACCTCCTCATCAAACAAACGTGCCGCACCCCTAATAATAGCTCATTGGGCTTGGAGGATACCAAAGCACATCTCCACATCTTTTATGTACCCCTCTTGATAGGCAACAAAATTTTTTTGCTTCTGGGATCGGAGATGCGGAATTGACTTGACAAATGTGGTCCACCTCGGGTAGATGCCGTCAGCTAAATAATACCCATTTTGGTAAACGATATTGTTGATTTGATAGGTGATATTTGGGGCTTCACCTCTCAAAACATCATTGAACACCGGGGATTGACCCAGGACGTTCAAGTCATTTTGAGATCCGGCAACTCTGAAGAAAGCATGCCAAACCCACGTATCAAAACCTGCAATGACTTCAAGGATGATGCTTTTTTGGCCTTTCCGATTCCCATAATCACCTTGCAAAGCGGTCGGGCAATTCTTCCACTGCCAGTGCATGCAGTCGATGCTACCAATCATTCCTGGAAATCCTATCTCTTCGTCTTTTTGTAGAAGCCGTTGTAGGTCCCTGGGCGTAGGTCTACGCAGGTAGTCCCTGGTGTACAGAGTTTCGACTGCATCACAAAATCTCACTAAGGTCTCCAAAGCAGTGGACTTCCCCATCCGGGCAATCTCATCCACTTGATCAGCAGATGAGCCATACACCAACATTCGTATAACAGCTGTGAACTTTTGCTCGGGAAGCAGTCCCAAATTTCCAACAGCATTTCTCTTTTGAACAAAATATTCATCATAATTGCAAATATCATGCATGACTTTATTGAACAAATGGAGTTGCATTCTATATCTCCTTCGAAAATCAACATCAGAGTACAGAGAAGTTGGGATAAAATAATCTTCTAGAAGATTCTTACCCCAAGAATGTCTATGTCTGTCCACATTCGGGCCACGACCTTCTCGTGAACCACGACGGCTCTAGTTTTCTTCATCATGCATAGCCATTGCTGTGACAATTTGCATATCCAGTTTTACCTGTGCCCTTTTCCCTGCAGCTCGTCTACGCCTTCTTTCTCTAAATTCTCGCATTTGCCTCTCCAAGACCTCGTTCATGTTTGCCATTGGAGTATGAATTCTAAAATATGAGAAATGAAAATAAAGAGAAGATATGGTGTGAGAGGTATGAGCTGAGGCTCTGGTTTTATAGAAAAATTTTGGCCGATAAGGATGACGTGTGACGCAATTTTAGAGGGTGAAAATCTTATCTGAAATTTGAAATTCAGATGAAATTTCATTGAAATTTGAATTTTGAAATGTATCTGAAATTTGAAATTTGAAATTTGAAATTTATCTTAAATTTGAATCCGAAAATTTTATCCGATTATGAGATATGAATAGTATTGACACATAGGAACCCAAAAATCTTATCCGAAAATATTGTCCAAATTAATTATTTAAGTAAACAAATTTGTGAAAAAAAACAAAAAAATGAATAGTATTTGCCCTAAACCAGGGCAACTGTTGGAAACCAACATTACTTTTTGCAAGGGCAGTCACTATTCACATGAATAGTGGCTGCCCTAGCCCCCCGTTGCCATGGCAAGGGGCAACTGCTAGAAATGCTCTTAAATCAAAAACAAAAAAATGCATATTGTAATTCTAAATTGTTAATGAGACAAAATGGTCATGAAAAATGTGCATTTAATATTGGTTCATTTTCCCCAACTTTTCCATGAGTAGGGAAAACAAAACCCAAGTTAGGAGGATGGCTTCACTTTCCCCCTACTTTCCTATGTGTCAGGCAACCATTTCCCATATTTGGACTTACCAAACACGGGAAAACAACTGATTTCTCATCCATAAGTCTCCTTTCTCATGAACAAAACGGATTTCATTGCAATTCGTGTTTATTTAATAGATTGATTTACAGTAGTACCCCCTTAGATTTTCGGTTTTTACACAAAACCTCCCGAGGTTTAAGAAATTACAGTAACATCCCCTAATGTTTTAAATTATTTTCACAAAACTCATTTTCATTAATTTTTTGTCCAAAAATTGATAATTTTATATAAATAAAAAATTGTCCAAAAGACAAAGTTAGCCTTTGAGATTAGATTACACATACATTCACTAAGGTTGCTTTGTCATGTGCACACGTTTTTTTAAAATGAAATCATCAAGTTTTAGATGAACAATCAACGAAAATGGGTTTTATGAAAATTATTTGAAACTTCAGAAGGGTGTTCGTATAATTTCTGAAATCTCAAAGGGTTTTGTGAAAAGTCAAAAACCTGAAGGGGTGTTAGTGCAAATAACTATATTGATAAGGTTATTTAATACACAATTTTTGTTTTGTTTTTTAATACACAAATTGAGTCTCATATAATATATAATTTTGGATATCTTTGAATTTTTTTTTTTTTGTTTCAATGAAATTCAAAGCTCTAGGTATTTTAAAAAACTTTTTGAGTAATATTGTTGAGTTTAAAAGTGTTTTATTTATTTATATTTTAATGAAGCAATATTGAAGTTGGGGTTTCAAACTCCAAAATCAATCAATGTGGTCTTTTATTTTTGATCTACACATCAGTTTGTTATTTGATATTACATTTAGGCAAAATTTCACTTGACCACCCACTTTAAACATGTATTTTCATTAAAATATAACTCATTTTAGTATTAAAACTCATGCTTTTTCTATAAAAAAATGTCATCTTTACTCAAGCTTTACAATGTCACAGAATTTTTACGGTGCATTTGGATGAGGGAAATAAACTTGGGATTTTGCAAAAGTCAGAATTTCTAAATTGACATGAACCAATTCCAATGTTTGGATAAAAAAAACCATAGAAATTTAGAAATTCAGCATGGGATAAAACATGGAATTTGGAGATCATAAATCCCAACTTTAAATTCTATCTAAAAGTCGTTATTTTTAAAATCCCAAGAGAGATTGAGTTTTAAAAAAAGATAACTTTACAAATAAATGTTAAATTCCGTGTTTTAAATCCGTCCCCCAAACAAGAAACTTTACAAATTCTAGAACATTAATTTTCATCATTTTAAATTCCATCATTTATGAAATCCTTTACCCTTCGTTTGGATGAAGGAATTGAAAATTATATAGAATTCTGAAATGACAATTTAGATTTCTATCATTTCAATTTTTGGCAATTGCATATTTCAGTGTTCGGATTTATGTACGTTAAATTTTATAAATGTCACTATGGAAATTGTGAAATATCGCATATTTTGGTGAAAATTAGACACGGGAATTTGATGCCCCAATTTCCACAATTTTTTCCGCGCGTCATTTAATAAATTCCAGGCTTAAGTTGCCAAACAAGAGAATTGTCAATTTCTCCTCTTAAATTCCCACTTTTAGCTAAATTCTGAATTATTTTCTCTCATCCAAACAGATGCTTATACTTTTAAATTTGTTGGTGGCATTACCAAATTTAACATAAGGGAAAGGCACCAAATTGATTTTAACACATATTTTAACATTATGGACTAAATTGATGTGTAAAATTAAAGTGATTGATTTACAAATTTGAGAACTTCAAAGATTATTAGTGAGAAAACCCTTATAAAAACAAATTTTGTAAATGACTCGTGGTTGGGTCTCTTTTGTAAATGACCCAACAAATTATGGGCGAAGAAAGGAAACAGAAAAGAAAAGGCTTTTTATCACAAAACGTCCCTGACGTTTTCGAAATTATCAGATTGCATCCTTAAAGTTTTTTTGTATCACTAATGGTCCCTAACGTTAATATAGGTGCTCTTAAATAGTCATTCTGTAAAAAAAAACTGTTAAATCTAGGGATATAATCGTCAAATCAATCTAAAATTATAAAATATATATATAAATTTCTCTCTCCCCTCTTTTTTTTATTTTTTTATTTTTTATGTTTCCTTTCCTTCTCTCTCTCTTTCTTTTTTTCTTCTTTCTTCCTCTCCCCGAGTTCAGTCTTATCTCTCCTCTTTCTTTTTTATTTCCTTCCCTTCTCTCCTTCTTTTCTTCTTCTTTCTCCTTTCTTTCCCCGAGTTCACTCTTCTCTCTCACTCTTTCTTTTTTTCTTCTTCCTCTTGTCATGGGCATTTTTTTTCTTCTTCTCTCAGCTAGAAAACTGGGCATTTCCCCATTCTCTCTCCTTTATCTTTTTTTTTTTCTTCATTCTCTGAGAATGATTTGGGTACAATGTGCAAGGGTTGGTTTGGGGCAAAAAGTCACGACGTCGGCTTCTATTGGCCTCTTCTTCTACCTTTGTTCAATTTTTATTTTTATTTTGGAAAAAAGCTGAAGAAAAAGAGAACAAAAAAATCCACAGACACAAACCCATTCGCAGGAAAATGAGCAACGACGATGGTAATCGGAATAGGAATAAGAAAGGCCAGTGGACACCGCCAAACAGACCCTACCAGGAGAAAGAGGAAGACATGAAGATTTGGGGAGAGAAAGAAGAAGGAGGAAGAAGAAAAAAAAGAAAGACAGAGAAAGAGAAGAGTGAATTCGTGGAGAGAAAGAAGAAAGAAGAAGAAAAGAAAGAGAGAAAGAAGAAGACAGAAAGAGAGAAGGAAAGGAAATAAAAAAAGAGAGGAGAGAGGACTTTTTATAATTTTGGATTGATTTTACGATTCTATCCCTGAACTTAACAGTTTTTTTGACAGATGGACTATTTGAGAAAACCTATATTGACGTTAAGGACCATTACTGATACAAAAAAACTTTAAGGATGCAATATGATAGTTTCACAAACGTCAGAGATGTTTTGTGATAAAAAGCCAAAAGAAAAAGATGACAAGTGGATAAAGATTGGTGATGGCGAAGGGCTCTCGTTGTGGTGGGAACGGGATGAAGGTGGGGTGGTCGAAAGCGGTGAAATTATGAGAAATTGAGAGACGAGTCACAAGCACAAAAGAAAGGAGGACTAGACCAGACCAGCGAGAGTGAGGGAGTGAGGGAGTGAGGGAGGGAGGGAGGGGTCCATGAAATGAAATCGGCGCCATCGTCGTCTTTACTCTTTCTGGTGCCACGTGGCTGCTATTCTTGTTCCTGTGTCAAGTTTGTTATAATGGCCAAGGGCAACAACAAGAAGAAAAAGTCTCAGCAAAATCCATCTCCTACTCCAATGGTTCTCTCTCTCTCTCTCTCTCTCTCTCTCTCTATCCTTTCCTTTCACTTTTTTTTTTTTTCTATGCAAGTTTCATGAATTCCTTCCTTTATTTTGCAATGTCAATTGAATATTGCTAATGTGAATTGAATATTGGTGTATGAACACGTCCTTTAAGAGAGTTTGTGCTCTGTCAACAGGGCTCCGACCCAAGTCCTCCCAGGATTACATCAAATGTCAGGCAGAATTTACAGCTTTTGAAGTTATGGAAGGTAGTTTGCTTACAATCCTACACACCACTCTGGAATGCAAAGTAGAAGTTTTCCTTCATGTTTATCTCATATGTTCAAACATCTTGTAGGAGTACCAAAAGAGAAAGTCTAGCACACCTAAGCACTCTACCAGTTACCGCAGAAAGAAGGTGCCCAAGGAACAGCTTCCAGAAGACTTAGACCTCTATCGTGATCCAACCACCACCCTCTACTAGTAATGCTCTCTGCCAGCTTCCTCTCCTTTTATGCTTCTTGGAAATCTATTGCCCTTTGATTCCTTTTTTTCTTTCTTTCTTCTTCTTGCAGTACAAACCAGGGTTGGGACATTGCAGTTCCGGTCTTGCTTGTTGATGGGTATAACGTATGCGGTTATTGGGCGAAGCTGAAGAAGCATTTTATCAATGGGAGACTTGAAATGGCTCGCCAAAAGTTAATCGATGAACTTGTAACTTTCAGCTTGCTACGAGGTTTGCAATTTCTTGAATAGATATTGGATAAACATTGTATTGGGTGGTTAACTTTGGGCCTGTCTGATAACCATTTCAATTTTAGTTTTTAGTTTTCATTTTTTGTGCTAGAGTACAGAGGAAAATGAGAGTGAGAATGGGATTGAGGATGAGATTGAGAAGAGGATGAGAAGGGAGGATGGGAGGGAGGAGTAACAAAAGTGAAACCAAAAACTTGAAAGTGAAAACAATTACAAATAGATTTCAGTTTTTAGTTTTTGTTTTCACTTTTGTTACTCCTCCCTCACATCCTCCCCTCTCATCTTCCCTCTCAATCCCATCTCCACTCTCATTCTCACTTCTATTCTCCATCTTTTTTCCTCTATACTCTAGCACAAAAAGTGAAAGCTAAAAACTAAAATTGAAATGGTTATCAAACAGGCCCTTCAATTATAGGAAACTTGAGCCACTTTTGAAAGAGTGCCATGAAATGATTTCTTTAAGAAACAAAGGATGAAAAGAAGAAGAATAAGGTGTGTTTTGTTGTGTCTTTGTTGACTACATTCCATAGACTATAACAAGTTGTGGTGTTAAGTGAGTGTGTTTTGTAATGAAAATATTTTTTTCTTGATATGTCCTTGCAAAAGAGCTTTGCATCATATGCAATCTGTTTAACAAATCATCATTTTAGGTTTTTGTTTTCTTTCTAATTTTTATTTTATTTTTTTCACCCACTCTTCCAGTAGTAGTTATATGGCTTGAGAAATACAACAGGAACAAGACTGTTGAACAATTTTAGGTGCGTATGGGGTTTGATAGTCTGCTTTTAAGTTTTTTTCACTCAATGTTTATGCATTTTGGAATTTCCATTTACTTCCGACATGGAGCGTGCGTGCAAAAAATAGCAGTGCAAACCAAACTGCTGGATCTTAAATTTATAACTGGCTGAGTAGTCTGATATCTTATGTTCTATGTCATTTAGTTTTGCTGTCTCTGTTAAGTTCACTTAGGTGCCTTTTATAGTTTCCTAAGTTTATTTTATACTTACCAATTGAATTCCATCAAAGTAAATTAGTGTGTAATGGAGAAAGCAGTCCAGGATTGAATATTACTATTCTTTGCTTCTTCTTCTTCTTTTGTTTTGTTGATCTGACAAAGTTGTTGATCTTCTTTAATCTAGTTTGTATTTTAACATATCTTTATTTTTGTAAATTTTCCTTCCAATGGTTTGCCATTAAATTTTTTATTGTTTCATCAGTAGCTTCATCAAGCTTTGCTGTAATATTGTATTTGGAAGGAAAAAAAAAATCTATGAAAACTCAGTGCATGACTCATGTTGTGCGTGCCATGTTGAATAGTTTCAACAGAATGGTTTTCTTGATTTTCCCTTTTTTTTCTTTCTATATCTGAATGTTCTTTACTCACCTTTTTTATTTCTGAAACATTTACAGAGGTGAAAGTGGTGGCTGTATTTGATGCCATGATGTCTGGACTCCCAACACACAAGGAAGATTTTAATGGGTACTGTTTCTGAACTCAGGGTACAATACTTGTGGTTACTACTCAATGAAAATCTTGACTTGTTCTTTGGTTCTTTTTTTTTTTGGGGTGAGGAGGGCAGAGTAAAACTGCACCTTGTACTGTTCTTTTGCATGTGCATGTGCATGTGCATATTTGTGAGTGCAATTTCACTTCTTGCTTTCAACATCCTCATTTTGTCTGAATTCAATGTACTAGTGTAATAACTTTGAGTTTGGATGATAAGCCTGAGGTGAAAGGGCTTTAATCTTCAACATCCAAACCTCAAATCATTTAAATGCTATGGCATTAAAAATATGCCACTGCATGCTTAAGGAATATCATTTTTCCACTAGCACATACACAATTGGTCCCTGAAACTTTGGGACAAATCACTTGACTGAACTTGATTTGACGCATTTAGTAATAAATGTTAGGGTTAACTACATAAAACCGCCTAAACTTTGGGATCCATTTCAAATTGGTACTTGATCTTTGAAGACCTTATAAGCTCATGCACAAACTCACGAAAAACCTGCATGTAAGCGCATTTGTCAATAGCCCGTTAGTATGTCTGTTAAATGATGACATGGAAAATGTGAGTGCCACATTTTATGCTTATGTGGACTCCACCCACAGCCAACAGCTCCAACCACCTAGCCCTTCCACACCCACCCTCAAAGCCCACCACCGATCTCCTGGGGCTCAACCTCCCACCCTGCGAGCCACCACGCCACCTCCAATCCCATCCTAGCCACACCATACTTGCTTTGATTCTATTTTTCTTCAGCTTTTTCTTTGTTTTTTTAGTTAATAATTTGGGTTTGTTTTGTATAATTTTGGTGGTAGGTGGTGTGGGTTAATCCTGAATATTTGATTAAGTTTGTTTTTTTGGTCTCTGTGGACTCCACCTGAGCATTAAATACAGGATGTATATTTGCCACATCATCATTTAACAGACATAAACGGACTCATTGACAGATGCTTACATGGAGGTTTTGTGAATTTAGTCTTCGAAGATCGGGACCAATTTGAAATGGCCCCCAAAGTTTGGGGTGTTTTATGTGGTTAACCCTAATTTTTGTTAAAAGTTTTGACGTGTGTGTGCAGATAAGTTTCCAATGCAAGTTCATGGAAATCACCATATGAAATTGTTTTATTGAAACTTCTTTTGGCGAAGAATTTCCTTTTATTTTTTATTTTTATCTAAACCTTATCCAAAAAAATCATTTTTGGGGTTATTTTCTTACAAACAAGCTCAGATTATACTGAAGACAAAAAAGAAAAAAGTTCTATTAGCCCTTGTGCTTCTTTAACATTTTCCATTTTCTGGGCCTTGCCTAATGACATTTGAAGCAGATATCAGGAGATTCAAGACTATATGATCACAACATACTTGCATGTTGCCTCTTGAGACATCATAAGAGATGATTTAGTAACCTTTTTCTTCTGTAACTTTAGTTGATTGATGAAATGGTTTTCGTTTTCCAGATTCTTAAACTTTTATCTTTTCTATTTATTTCTTTGGTGGGAAAATAACGTATTAGTAACTCTATTGTTCTGTTATTCATCAAGGTCATCCTGAATGGCAAGTTTGTCTTCTTGAATTTTCAATTTTTAACTTGATGAAAAAAAAAGTTACACTCAGCTGTTAGTGTATATGCTTGATTAAATCACCTTGGTACTAAATCACTTCATCTAAGGAACTGTAATCCTAAGAATTCACAATGTTGCAGTGTCGATGTAGTTTACTCAGGTGAATCTTGTGCTGATGCGTGGATTGAGAAAGAGGTGAGGAATGACTTGAAGCTGAAACCAACTTTAGAATTGTGCAGTCACTTCAAAAGTGAAATAAAGCTATGTTTGTTTACCTGATTTGGGTCTGCGGTTCTTATTTAATTGGTAACACAAAGTCCCATGACTCTTTTTTTTTTTTCATTTGATGTAGGATATCCCATATTATATTGAGCTCGAGGTAAAAATTCTGATGCAGGATGGTGAGATGTAGTAGGCTACTAGGTCTAATACCTAACATAGAGCACTGTATATAATAGGAGTTACTTGACAAGCTATGTTTTTTATTGCAAGCTGTTTATGGCAGCAAGGCTTTTGGGGTAGAAGATTTAGAGTGAAGGATTTATGGTGAAAAGAAAGAGGAAAGGGTCAGGAGTTGAAGGGAAAAAGAGGGAACCAAGTCATGGACGCTGTTTTGTGGCTATGAGCAGTACCCCCAAGAATGGTAATTTGGTTGTTCTAGAAGCAACAATGTCAGATTAAGAAAAAAGTGGCTAGGTTTTGGTGGATATAGGATTTTGGAAAATTGGGGTTATCTAGTATATTAAACACATCGATTACAGGTAAGGCTGCAGGAGTCCAGATTTGTGCTTAACACAAAGCTTAGTGGTAAAAATCCATGTAGAATGCAAAAGAAAAGAATGTTCTATATATTCCATAATTTTCTTTTGTTTGGTTCATAGATGAGAGTGGTAAAGAAAACAAAATGAAGGACAACAACTCAAAATTTTCCTTTGAGTTATTAGACATTTAGCTTAATGGCTGATTATTAGACTCTAGCCTAAGGCTGTTAGCTTAAATTTAGGTCTTGTTGTAGAGTTCATTAACAGATTATGTCATGGATTTCTGTATAATTTGTGTGTACTCCTTTCATTTGAATATGCAATATGATGTTCTTCATCTCCCTTTCTCAAGTTCCTTTTTTCTCTTCTTTTTCTTCTTTTTTGAGGCTACTGGAAATTTGTAAATTTATATCCACATATGGAAATGGGATGCCCATGTATGGCTATTAAGAGTTCTTGTTCAGTGCAATGATGGTTACATTTCAGACAGGATTGTTATAGAAAAGGTTAGAGATTGTTCTCTACTAAATGTTATAACTAGAACCAGTAACGGTGTAAGGAGGACACAATGGGGTCATACTACTTCCTTTTGGTCCATTTTGGTCACAAAAATCACTTCGCTTAATGAATAATAAAATAAACTATGTTTGTTTTTGTCTAAGTAGAAGCTTATCATTCTCGACAACTTTTTTCTTTGAGTCAGACCATAGTACAAATACATAACATATATTGGAGGACTTGCTGGAAAAAATATAAGGGCATGGGTTTTACGTATGCCGTAAAAAGGTTTAGGGAGAAGGCTTTTCATTTGCACGAGGCAGTCACATGACCCTCCTCACCAGGCAGACCCTATGGGTGAGAACCTGTGAATTACTTGGGCTGTTGGTGGGGCCCTAATGTCTCTTGTAATCTAAGAGTCTCATATTTCTTAAATATCACTTGGTAACTGGTACACAAAGAGTTGCATCATGTATGCAGTACAAAAGTTTGAAAGAATTTGATCTCCTGAATCTCAGTTCTAGTACACAACTGCATTTGTGCACTGTTCTAGGCCTGAAACTGGTTAGCTTTGCAATACAATTTTCAATTACCCTCTGGTATTTGCTTCTCTGATCTGTTTTATGTGTATTTCTTTTTCTTGATCTGTAACTTGTGATTTTTCTATATGTAACAGGTTGCAGCCTTGAGGGAGGATGGATGTCCTAAAGTTTGGGTTGTGACTTCTGATCATATTCAGCAGCATGCAGCACATGGAGCAGTATGTGTTCTCCTCTTCATTCCGGTGTAAATGAGATTTTTCTTCTGATCCTGTTAAATAAATTTGGACTGTTATCTTTGTTAAACTATTAAAATTATCAAGGAGTTCCAATTTTGATGCATAAAGTCCAAGCATATAATATATCTGTATTTCCTATAATGTCCCATTTCTGGCTGCCACAAATTTTGTTGGTACTGCAGCATACTATTTGCAACCATCTTGTTCCCCCGAGTCCATCTTGTTCCCCTGTACCATCCCAATGAGTTTAAGTTGGGTTAAGTTGTGCTTTACTAATCTTTTGAAGTAATCTCTTTAATAATTCCTTTTGTTTCATGTTTTATACAACCAGTAATATTGTTTGACAATTCACTGGAGTACTCTTGCAATCTCGTATTTAAATTCCTCGAACTTGCAGAATTTAAAGCTCTGAGACCTAGTGGCATTAGCCTTCTTGCAAATACAAAGGTTCTGTGCGTCTTGGCTTCAAAACCAAGAAATATTGTGGAGTCCCCCCATCCCCCGGAAAGAAAAAGCAAACTTGTTTCCGTATTGTAGCATGATGCTATTTTATTCCCTTACCATTTGAAAAACAAGATTTAGGTATCTTGTATGTTCACATGGCTGATGTACTTCAACATTCACTGAATCATGATCTTAGCAACCTGATATGGACTCTTATACTGTTATTTTTCAGGGAGCCTTCATTTGGAGTTGCAAGGCGTTGGTTTCTGAGGTAAGGCATTTAACTGTATGATGTGTTGCCATTTTGTTCAATGATGTTGAGTGTGGACAATGTAGTATGTACTAATTAAAATCATTCTTTCTGTTCATGTTAACATTCATTTGTTAGGAACAGTTAGATTTGTTCAGAACTCGGGCCTAATTACATTTTACACCCTCCAAGTTTGGGCCATGTATCAATATCATACCTCATCTTTAAAACATTGCAATGATAGACGTAAAGACATGCTTTAGTTTATTTATCAGTTAAAACATGCAATAAGATAAAAATAAATAAGAAACACAACTTAACTTTAAAACTTAGGGCCCATTTGGTTCAAGGTTTAGGAGCTTGGGAATGGGTTTCAAATTGCATTCCCATGTTTGGTAAGTGCACTCTTGGGAATGCAATTATGGACTCATGGGTATGGACTTCCCAAGTAGGGGGGGAAGTTCATAGCTCACCTTGGGAAACTTTTTCCCCCCCACTTGGGAAAGCATTTAATGCAATTTTTTTGGACTAACTTACCCATGTTATTATTTTAAAATACCACTTTTGACCCTTTAAAAACTCTTCATATTAATAACTTTTAATGATAAAAAATCAAGGTTATTGTTGGAAAACTGATCAACTTTTCATTTCTAATATTGCACAAACCAAACATGGGAATGGGAGAAAACGACATTTCCTAGTCCTTATTTCCATCGTTCCCAAACATGGGAATGGACATCCTCCATTCCCATCTCGTGGGATTAGACATGGGAAGTTTATTCTCAAGAAGTTCAATTTGCGAACCAAATTGGCCCTTAATGTTTTAGTGAATTATATTAAACAGGCTGGGAGAATGCATAGATTGGGCCCTTGATGTATGAATCTCTGTTTTGATGTATTCCTGTTTTTGTTCATGCCAATTCATTTGTTTTGTATAGATTAAAGCATCAGAAAAGGAGTTTGAGAGGATGCTTCAGGAACACAGGTCTGTTCTACTTGAGATGAAACTTGTTATCTTATTTTCTGCTATGGAAAATTGAATACACTAAGTTATGTTCATGCTGTTTCATCTTGCCTATGGCCTTCAGAACTCTAAACCTTTGCCACATTAGATGGTGTAAGTGCTCTTGAGGAGAACCAGATAAGCTTTTTGATGCAGAATGCATATGAATAGTTTTCCTAATTCTATTTGGATTAGTTTTCCTTATTCAGTTAAGGATTCCTTGTTGTTGAAGGATTTCTTATTAGTTAATTTGTTTTCCTATTTCTTAAAGTTTACTTTTCCTTTTCCTAAACTAAAAAGGGTTTTGTCTCTATAAATAGGGCAGTTTGTAATCTTATAAGGCAGACTTGATTAATAATAAATTTCCTTACTTTGAACTCTCTGATTCCTTCCCTTTCCCTTCGCCTCTTGGATCTCTAATTCCTTCCTTTTCCCTTCGCCTCTTTGATCTCTAATTCCTCTCCTCGATCTCTTATTTCTTCTATGTTCTATTGCTCAAGTGTTTACTTTAATACCTATCGGTTGTTCTACATCAATTGGTAATCAGAGCATTCCCTCACTTTCGCTTGCATTTGCTCTATACCATGGCACCCCAAATCGTGGCCAGCCTTGCAGAACAATGTCATGTGTTCCAAGACAAAGTTTCTGACGATATCGCTGGCATTGAAACCCAACTCTCCAAGCTCAACGCTGACCTGAAAGAAGAGTTGGTACAGGCTCACAAACCTCGTGCGACAACGGACTTTGCCATCACCAAACTCCAAGACTCCGTTCAGTTGCTTATAAATTACTTTCGGGCTGGACACGCTGAACCTTCTTCTACGTTAGCGGTGCTCTCAAGTTCGTGTATGCCACCGCCAAAAAGTGGCCTTTTGCCAAGTCCACTGGTGGATAAAAAATTCAAGGCCATGCCATACGGCATGTCGCATAGCTCAACTGGGCTCTCGCTCAACACGCTCGAGGCTCAATTGGAGCCCCTCTTTTCTTTTGGGTCTATGCCACCGCCCCATTATATCGAACACACAATGGGCCTTCCTCCAGTGACTACGTAGGCTTCTATCCTGCCACCCGTTCCACATGATCAATACATTCATCCCCCTCACCATTTTAACAACGATATCATCCGCCACATCAAGCCTTCCGCTCCTACTTTTGATGGTCATGGGGATCCTTCGATGTTTCTTGATTGGTTGCTCTTCCTGTGGCTGCCCGCGCATCAGATTTTGCTACTTCATTTGCTAAACATATTAGGAAACTGTATGATGACGTCCGTCGGCAGATATCCATGCACACCGACACTTACAAACTAGCAGCGAATGCTCATCGTTGTCGCCAAGAGTTTCAAGAAGGGGATGTTGTTATGGTGCGGAATAGTCCTGAGCGTTTTCCTAAGCAATATTTTTGTTAAATAACCTGCTGCTGGATCTTGTTCTTTAATGTAACCAACGACAATAGACTAAACTAGCAAATATTAGGAAACTTAGACACACAAGAGTTATACTGGTTCGGCAGAACTTTTGCCTACGTCCAGTTGTGAGAAAGAGAAATCATCGCTCCTTTGATTAATAATAGAGATTACAGAACTTTTGCAAACCCTAGAACTAATCTCAAAACTCTTGGCTGTCTCTGGCTATTTTTCCCTCCTCAAAATAAGCCTTGCCACACCCTATTTATAGATATAGAGTTGGCTTACATGTCCTAAGGCTGATTGAATTCCTATTCCTAAGTGGATTAGGAAATTACACTTATCCAAAACCAAATAGGTTTCTAGAAATCCAAACCTGAATTGAATAAGGAAAACTGAAATTCTTTCCTAATCCATCTAGGACAAGAATACCTCTAATTTTCCTAAAACAATCCTAAACTAACTAGGACATATTTGACGAGCCAAAATCCTAACAATTTTAAGAAGCTTCATGCTCATTCGCTGGGTCCTTATCGTATCATTAAGAAGCTTGGGTCCAATGCTTACTTGATTGAGTTGCCCGCAGATATGCATACAAGTCCCATTTTCAATATTGCTGATTTATCTTCTTATCAGGGAACCTTTTCTCCGCCTATTTCTATGGATGTTGTTCATGGTTCCATTCCCCCTCTTGTGCCGCGTATTCCCTCTACCAGTTCTACCCCTACAGATCAGATTGCTTACGTCTTGGATCATGAAGTTGTGGCCTCATCTGCTGGAGGTTCTACCCGTTATCTGGTTCGTTTGGTTGGAAGGCCGGCTACTGGGGATGCTTGGATTACAGAAGCTTAATTTCGCCGCTTGGATTCCAATCTTCTGCACAGTTATCAGGATGCTCTTTATGATCTTGATTTGGCTGCATCTCGTCCTCCTATCATCCATACTTACCAACGTCGTCGTCATCGTCGTCCTTAATCTTGGTTTACTTGACAGTGTCGAGTTCTTTTTGGTGGGGGAGAATGATGCAAAATGCATATGAATGGTTTTCCTAATTCTATTTGGATTAGTTTTCCTATTATTAGTTTTCCTAATTCAGTTAAGGATTCCTTGTTGTTGAAGGATCTCTTATTAGTTAATTTGTTTTCCTATTTCTTAAAGTTTACTTTTTCTTTTCCTAAACTAAAAAGGGTTTTGTCTCTATACATAGAGCAGTTTGTAATCTTATAAGGCAGACTTGATTAATGATAAATTTCCTTACTTTAAACTCTCTGATTCCTTCCCTTTCCCTTCATCTCTTCGATCTCTAATTCTTCTTCTCGATCTCTTATTTCTTCTCTGTTCTATTACTCAAGTGTTTACTCTAACACCTACGGGTTGTTCTACATCGCTTTTCCCACCAATGTCTGGGATAAAAACAGGTATCATAATCATGTGCAGAGGATGTCAAGTGACTATTCTCAGCACCAGATCTAAAGACACTATCTTGTAGGAGCTCAGCCTATTCTACTTAACCAGTTAAGAGCTGTGTTGCTCTTAAGCTCAGTCCTTAAAGGATGAGCACTTTTAGCCATTGAATGAGGTACTCTTGGATTGATCCATGATTTACTCACAATGAGAAACTCTGTGGTTATCGGAGTCAGATCTTGTTAGACGAAGTTTCATGCCTTTTACACATGACAGGAGTGTCATGTGTTGGTTTGGGCACAGGTTGTATGTCACGTCAACTTCCAAAAGCCATGCATGTTGAGATATGCTGGTACATTTTTAATTGATTTATGAGTCATCTGCTTAAGGATATCTTTAGTCATGAAAAAACTATTCTTACCAAAATATTTTCGAAAAGTGTGAGTTTCTTGCCAAAAATGCTGCCGGCTTTCTCAAATTTTCATTCTTAGCGAATGGTGCAACTTTTCTGAGTATTCAAGGAAGTGACCAACATATGTGAACAGCATTGTCGAGTTCTCGGGTGTCCAAAGAGGTGTCCCACAAATCATATAAATAAATAAAGCATTTGAGGTCCTTGTTTTGAGCATCTTTATGCCAGAGTTTGCTGGTGGGCGAAAATATCAATTTGATTGCTACTATTAATAAATTATGATTTACCTTTCTCAGGCCTACTTCTTTTTATCAATTTGATTCCAACTATTAATGAATTCTGGTTTATTTTTCTCAGGTCTACTTCTTTTCAAGGGAGGTTATTAAAGCACAATCTTGATTCAGAAGTTGTAGATGCTCTCAAGGATCTCAGGAGGAAGTTATCTGAAACTGAATCAAAGTAGTTGATCAGGTTTTGTTTCAGATCAAGATCTCAAGGATCTTAGAAGGAAGTTATCCGATGCTTGTCCTGTACATAAGTATAGGTTGATGTACTGGCGTCATCCTTCAGAAATCAATCCCTGGCCATAGAAGTTGTCAATTTGTACCATGTTATATAAGGCACTCAAAAATTGTTTGGATTTGGATCATTTGACAGTTGTACCTCAAAAAATTTGGCAATAAAATTTTAGTAACAGAGTTTGTCAGCTTCAATTACATGTAATCTTAGTCTCACATGTAATCTTAGTCTCACAAGTCCATGCAATTAAGTTTTATCAATTTTTTTGGTTATATATGTAGATTGTTGGTTAAATAAATAATACTTATCTCAAAGTATCATTAGAAATTTCCAAATTTTCATAACAATATCATGGTTTTTACCAATATTTATCGAATATTTCTGCCAAAATGGTTGCATTTTGGGACTTTCGAAATTTCCGGACTGACCGATAGGGTAATGTTTGTTTGGGGTTTTGTTTCTTAAAAGGAAATTTAGGGTAATGTTATTTAGTGGACGTTGGGTAAAATTGACATTTGATCAATCACAAAGACTGATAACTAGCGACGACAAGCACATGCAGCTTTCGTGGGAATTATATGACCTTGAACTGCAATGAATTGTTAACTACAATTGCATGGTCACAAAATTAAATGTCGGCCCAACTTGGAAATTCAGGCAAACTAGTCACGCAAAAAATTGAAATTTTGACTTTTTCTTTTATCTATATCATTCAACAGACATAACTTCAAAGAATTACGTTGCACGTTTGAGGGGTATTGAGAAAAGGTGTCAGGCAGTTGTATGTTACGTTGCTTTAACTACACTTAATCCAGTCACAAGATCTTAAGATTTGATCGCATCCAAAGTGAATATTTTGAAAAGAAAATATGACACGGATGTCTTCAACACTACATCACTTGATAAAAATTTGCAAACAAAGAGAGCTTGATGAAAAGAATTGCCTGTTCGCAGTTTTCAGGTCGATGAATCAATCATTATATACTTGACAAACATAAAACAAGAACCACTTACAATGAAAACCTGTGGATGTAAAGAATCAATGGAGCAGTTACAAATGAAACAAAATGGGAAGAACTTTGGCCGCATACAGAGCATTCATTCATGCAAAAGTAATCACATTAACCGGAGGCAACGACTATTAGACATTAATATCTGAGCGCTTTGATCTGCCTGTACTGCTGATTTCTGGGTAACTAGTATGGGAAAATCTAGGAAGGCTGTAGTTTTCTGAAACCGAAACTGGTTGCTGAGGATAAAGCGTGGGAGGTGGTGTCAGATTGCGTTGCGCTGGAAGAGGAGGGAGCATGTTGTACTTGTAAGGGTCACCACGCAAGCTGCAAAAAAAACCCTTGGTAAGAAAAATCACAACAAACATAGTAAGACAACCCATTGAGAGGATAAGAAATGTGATGATGAAGAATTATCATCATGACTTATAAAGTGCTGGCACATAACTGGCAGGGTCACGCAGAACTTCACATTTGATCAAAACATAATCAATCACCATTTACGTTCTATCACAGGAAAACCATCTCACTTCTGAGCTAGCATACCCTCCTTTAATTATTTAAAGATGATGTTGACAGCTATAACAAGTTGGAGAGAAGAATGTAACTGGCTGAAACTACCTGGAATTCCTGTAGGAATGATCCTCATCACTCCAATTTTCATCTACAGTCTGTGCAGGTTTTTGAACTGGAGAACCAGACCATGGATTTTGTGCAGGTACATCATCGGAAAAATATCTTCTTCTGATCAACTGAAACAACCAAGACAAGAGTTGGACATATTTCATACGACAAAAGAAATAAGCTAACAGCAAGAACACAAATACAGACCATACGGAAAAATTTCATCACGGCTTCCTTGTCATATCTTGCTTCTTTGGCAGCCTGTATATGTTCAACAGACCATCATATATTAACGATTCCATGTTACCAACGATTCCCTCACAAGATATATAGAACATAAACATGACAATTATATTCCCTGAAATTGACCTTTTTGCTGGATAGAAAACAATGACTTTACTGATCAAAGTCAAAAGTTACAAAAAAATTCCTAGCCATAACAAGAGGTCCACAATCTAGCCAAACTAAGTATAGCCTATTACATCCAGGAATTAAACTACTTCTAACTACAGAGGACCAAAACTAAAACCAAAAGAAAAATAAGAACCCAAAATGACAAAAACTGGGGAAATGTGAGGAAGAAACTACAGTGGAGAAAAAGTTAACTGATTTACAGTTAACACCTAATGTGCACGACCAGAATGGCAGAGAAGTTCAGGCATCTTGTTCCAGTAAATGGAATTCATATTAACAAAATGCCCTAACAGTTTTGGTTCCAATGTTTTAAAACATAATTTGAAAAGATAAAACCATTAATCAACTCCAGTGAGGTGACCCCACATCTTCTCTTCTTCATTAAATGAAAGGAGTGATTATAAACATCTACGAAGTGCTATAGTTACAAGTTACAACAACTAACAACAATATGTGAATTACTAAAGATCACATATCCCTCTGCTAGCTAAAACATTAAAATATCCATAGAAAAGAATAAAAAAGCAGATATTCTGTAAAAAAAATTATTTTAGAAACTCATTACTGTTTTAGTGTTCTCTGAAAATGACAAAATTCTTCAGAAGCACTTAAAAAGAGTCCTCGGCTGAATTGCATTATTTCTCCACTTACAAGGCCTTTTATTAAAATAGATAGCCAATCAAGAAATAACATAAATTATGTAATTTTTTTAAATGTTCAGGAAAATATCAAACTTGAGCAATGATTCAGATTCACAATCTGACAACATAATCAGACCGCCTAGAAAGAGAACATTTCCCCATGCATGCATATAAATGAAGCACACAAACCAAATAGCAGGTAGAAGCCAAATTCAATGTGTAACAAATAAGGCCATACAAGTACCAAGCACAATACAGTTGACTTTTTGTAGCAATAAATGGACGTCACACATGCATTTTAAGTTCCTTATTCGTAGTCTCATATTCATGATCTTGGAGTATCCTTATGTTACATGGTCAGTGTATTAGAAGTGGTAAATTATCTTTTACATTTTCTGTATGCATTGATTTGGGTCTTTTCAATGATTCACGTGCCAATGGCTACAATCTTGTGTTTTCCCTCAAATGGCTACTTTCAAGCATTGAAAGTAAGTTAATAGTGAAGAGAATCCTTTGTCACATTCTAAGTCATTTGGAATATGAATGTAAAACCTCACAACAAATTCTAATGCTATGTGAAACAGGTAGGTTTTCACTAATTCTAAGTTGCATGGCAGCTTGGCATTAAAAAATTGCCAACTATCCAAGCCAACTAGCGGTGGCATCTATCTGGGTCATAGGGAATGGAGAGAGATAAGACTCATGTAAGACAGAGTGGACAGAATTTCCTTCATGTGTATCCTTCCAGTGCCTTGTTGATTGTTTTAGTGGCTGGCTATCTGGGTCTCTTTATAGATTGTCATCTTCTCATAATACGTTAATTACAATAAGTCAGTTTCATCATTGTATCATATGAGGTGGAATCCCAACTTGTGGAGGAAATTAAATGAAATAGAAACTGCCGAGTTTTCTTCTCTCTTGTCTTTAATTGAAAACATTTCCTTGTGTCCAGTGCGAGTTGATAAAAAGATTCAACTTGAGTCCTCTAAACATTTTCTGGTAAATCGTCCTCCAGAGTCCAAATAACTTGAAAGGTAAAGGTTCCTAGTAAGGTGCAGGTACTTTAATAATTGCTCATGGGAGGGTCAATACCTGTGATGTTATTCAATGAAGGAGGCCCAAATTGTGCATCTCACCCTATTCGTGTATTCCGTGCAAAGGTGGGGAGGAAAATATGGATAAAGAGTGATGACCTATTTCTCCATTGCCCAATCACACTTCAGATTGTGGTATAATCTCTTTGGGGGAGGCAAGGTTGAGTTTGGTGATCCCGGCCTCTTATAAATCATAATTGGTTGAGAAGTTCAAAAACATTTTTCTTTTGGGGAGGAAGGCAAAAATTATGTTGAAGTGTTGTGTCTTGGCTATCTTTTGGGTGGCTGGCTGTAAAGGAAGGCTAGAATATTCGAAGAAAGCTACGGGAGGAGGCAACATCTTTACGGGACAGAGTGAGGCTTTGGTAGCTGCTGAATTCAAGGATATTCCTTTTTCTATTTTCATTCTAATTGGAAAGCTGCTGTTAGCTGACTTTTGAGCCTTCAATTTCTCAGATTTGTGTGCACGGGCCTCTCTTGATCAGATAGACTGCTATTTGGATTGTAACTCTTTGAATGAGTACTTAATGAAATCTTTGTTTCCGTAAAAATAAAAATAAAACAAAAACAAAAACATTCAAATTGAACACAGTACTCCTTTTAAAAAAACTTTTTAAAGTGCACCTTGGTCAAGTTAACCAAGCAGAACACTGTGTTCACCAAAACATGCTCTAGATATGGCCTCAAAAGATCATAATAAATATAGACAGAAAAATGAGGTCAGTTGCCTTCAAACACGTCTAATGCAATCACAACCACATTCATTGGATACTAATTTCATTTTCATCAGTGATAATGTGAACAGTGGCAATAAACAAGGAGAAAAAGGGGGAAGGAAAACAAAAAGAAATGAAAAAACACGTTGCTTACCGCAATAAGGCCTCCAGCACTAGGAAAACTCTCAGTCAGTGGAAGTTCCTCACTGGATGGAAGCAAACCTTGTTTCTCAACCCACTGTCGAGCTACGTCAACAAGATTGCCACTGCTTCCCCTTGTACCCTCTTTTGCAGCAATATCAGCTTTGTTACCTATAACAATATAGGGGACAGGAAGGCCACCGGGACCTCCAGATCCTAGAGGAGCCGAAAATGTCCCAGTCGCAGCAATCTCAGCTGCCCACCTCTGTAAGCCAGTTTTTGTCCTTCTTTGGGAGAGATCATGAACAAAGATTACACCTGCAGATGAATTTTAAGCATATCATGAGTTGAAACATCCAAGTCTGGTTGCAAAATGTTGGTTCCATTTCTTTTGATAGGAAATAAAACACAAAAATAAATGTCTGAATACCGTTAGATAAGTTGAGTACAATCACATTGACCATAACTATATACCACCATGACTTACCACAAACATTTCGTCAACACCACTAATGTACATTTGCATCATTAATGAATCAAACATGGATGCATCAAGAGACAAAAAAATGATAAATGCCCGCACTTACAAGCCTAAGCAAGGCTGCTGGTTTCTAACTTAAAGATAAATAGTCAATTAACTTGTCCTCAAAAGTTTGTTTACTTCACGGCCTTTTCTCTTATTTATATTTAACATGCATACTAGTTACAAGGAGAATAAAATGTTTATAGAAGGAGAGAGGTCCCAAACTTGCCATTAATTTGGGAATAAAAAAGAGACCGGCATTCTTTGTATCTATCATGTCCAGACACATCCCAGAGTTCAATAAAGAAATCTCTCTCAGCGTCACCTTTAATGCTGCTTGACGAGCTACCAGAGTTTCCATAAGTAGTATGCTGGATAGAAAAACGGTAAACGCTTATTGGAGACTGGAACTTCAGTAATACTTCTCAATATCCCATCAGAATCAAAGTAATAATTCTTCTTACCTTTACACCAACTGTACACCCTACTGTCTGAGGAGGACGAGCGATGGAAGAACCGTTGACAATCAGATGAACAAGAGAACTTTTTCCAACACCTACCAATTGATCAAAATCCAAAGATGAAGTTTGATACTTACACCCGAAATTATGAGAGGTAATCGACAATAAGTCATAGATTGGATAAAGAACATCCTTCCGGCATGCATTATAAAATTATGTGTGCAGACATGTTCATGTCAAATTATAGATTCAGAGGGTTGCATTTCCGCCTGTCAAATACTATTTTATGCAAAGCATTATCATAAACATGTAAGCCACTACCCTTCTAGTAAGCTAAGATAATATACTTTAACAATCAAGCATGTCAGCAATTGATCTTGATACTTGAAACTAACGTATATAGAATCACTCCATTATTGGGTAAGCATCAAATATTCAATGCTGATTCCAGGTCAAATCAGGTAGAGGTTTCGTCCATATCTGGCCAACATATTTCCAAAATGTCAGGAGGCATTGATCTTTCTTAAAATGAAAAGATCAGTCTCCAACATAACACCAATATCATTCTTAACTTTTTCAATCTACACTTCTTTCTTAACTCATCCAATCTACAATTCTCCAACCAACATATAAGATACTACATGCAATCTGCTCATGTGTAACTTGAGCTTCTGTATTCATGTTGCTTTGACACTCACTTGAAACCAAAGTTTCTTCACTCTAGCACAGTTGTGCTTCTTAATCCAAAAATGTTTAATTGAACTAATCCAAAGGGCAGCAACCACTCTGATCAGAACTGTACCCAAACTCATATTGACAACAATTTGGTATCCAAAGTTCTAACCAAATCCATATTCTATATCTAATTATGAGCATCATTAAGCACATACAAGCATACAACACAATCCAGAACAAATCAATTAAGATTTGCAAAAAACAAAAAAAAAATTGTAAAAGGAAAGGAAACAAGAAGACATAGGAAGAGAATTATAGGGTCACAATCAACTACCTGAGTCGCCAACAACAAGCACTCGAACCTGCCCACAAGGCGGTCCACCACCGTTTTGCTCTTTGTTCTCCCTCTCACGGTCCCTCCAGAACATGTTGTTCTCCAAGACTTTTCAAAACAAAATCACCTCAAAATGCAACCAAAATCAAAGGTCCAACTCCTCGCACATTCGAGACCCACAAATCAAGTCCCATCAAAGACACACAAAAACCAACAATTTCTCCAAATGGGCACCCTCAGTTTCAATCTAAAATCCATTTTGATTCAAGACCAAGACAAGATCAAAGCCGGAATCATAAAACCCATTTCTAAACATGTCTCAAGGGACCCAATAGAAAGCCCCGCTAAGGTGCTCAAGAACCAAAACCTAGTTCCACCGACAGATCTCGTATTAAAATCTTCAAGTTGTATCCTTGTAAACGTAGAACTTAAAACTTCTAGTTATTTTTTATAAAAAAAATAGCTAGATCATGAAAATAAGAACTGGGTTTGGCTCCAACCTTCAACGCAGCTCCTTTTCACCACCATGAAACATGTGACACCAGTTTCAATTACTCCATCAACGTTTCAGAACCCCACCCCCTATAAATCAGAGGCCTTTAACTTTAGATTGGCACGCCAAACAGAGAACCAACAAATAAATTCTTCTTCACTAGCAAAGATTTATTCCGCTTCAATCGACCTCCAATCTGTGAGCCCCCTCTTTCTTTCTGTCTACTCTCTGTCCCTCGCTTTATGTCTTCCTCTCTCTCGATCCCCTTCTGTTTCACTCTGCCCCTCTTTGTCAGTTCGCGCCTCTCCCCCTACCTCCCATTCTAATATTATTTTTCCTTTTCTTTTTGCGTAAATTTCATTTTACTATCCGGGGGAGTTTCCATTTATTTTATTTTTTCGCTAAAGTTTAGGGGGGTACTCTTGCACACAAGTGTGCGATAAGATGGGTTTCAACATCCAATCATTGGTATGCAAGTCGATGTCATTTTTATTGAGCTAGATCCTATTGATACTGAGTTTCAATCTTTACTAGTCCGAAGATTTTTAGTGTCGACTTCGGGCCCGTTTGATTCACGGGTTAAACTTCTTGAGAATGAAGTTCACATGTCTAATCTCACGAGATAGGAATGGAGGATGTTCATTCCCGTATTTGGGAACACTAAGAAATGTCATTTTCTTTCATTCCTATGTTCTATTTGTACTTTGTACAGTAATGAAAAGTTGTTCAGTTTTCCAACGATTTCCCTACTTTCTTACTATTAATATTAATATGAAAAGTTTTTTAAAGGTCAAAGTGAGCTACGAGTTAGAAATTTCCCGTACATAAGTTCATACCCATGGGTTAGGTATTGCATTTCCAATGATGCATTTACCAAACACGTGAATGCAATTTCATATCCTAAAACTTAAACTTTCGTATGTAATAAACTTTGATTTTACTACAGTTTCATCAGTGTTTGCGCTAAAACTAGATGGGTAGTAAGTAGGCCAACTTAAAGATGAGGTGGATGCTGAAGGTGAGGACCCTCAATATGTAAGAGCATTCGGTAAGTAAATGGACATGCATACATAAGACAAATGTACGTGGTTCACCCGAATAATGGGCTACGTCCACAGAGAAGTATGTTCTCATTACGATAATGTGTGTATACATTGCACATAGGGTTAGACCCAAGGGGAAGAAGAAGAATGCCGAAGGCTGAAGGTAGGAAGGCTGGAGATCCGTGGGCTTGTAAATGGGCTCATGGGTAAACCCATAGGGCCCCAATAGCCTGCCCAACTCCTCTTTTCTTTCTCCTCCCTTCTTCTTGGAGGAGAGGGGTCTTCTTTTATAAGTGAGGAAGAGTCCCCTCCTCTTGTGTTTTGTCGATGTGGGACTCCCTTCTCTTTGGCTTGGGAGTGTTTGGGAGTGTTTGGCCAGATATTGTACAAACAATCAGCATCGTGACTCTACCATCAAAAGGTCTGTTAACGCATGACGTGGCAATAAAGAGAGCCATTCATTATTAAAAAATAAATAATACAATAAATATATAAAATATGATAAATCTTTTAAAATAAAATTGCAAAGGAAAAAAACTCCTTCCCACATGCCCTTTCTCTTAACTAACAAAATGAGTTAACTACATAAAACCTCCAAACTATTAGACATTTTTCAAGTTCATACATCATTTATTGACTATTTATAAATTCATACACAAAATTCTGGAAACTCTACAAACCACCCCTATTGTTAGCCAAACTGTTAGTAGTCTTGGGGATGAGGAATCGGGTGAAATTCCATGTTCTGGAACTTGGGTGTGGCGTTGGTGACCATGGATAGGATAAATCAGCGCTTGGTGAGATGGTTGTTGGGTTGTGATCCATTGGGTTAAATCGAAAATTAGGCAGTAGGGAGGTGTGGCTGGGAGGGGAAATTGGGGAGGAGAGGGTAGGAAAGTGCTCAGAGGTGGGTGTGGATGCAAGGAGGAGAAATTATAGAGTAGTACGGTATCACCACGTAAGCTCGTGATACACCCATTTAGAATTTTCCATGTGTTTAAAAAAAAAAAATTAATTGTCTCCAATTTTACCCTTGATAATAAAATTAATAATAATAACAAATCAAACAAACAAGCCTGTGCGACAGCCTCCCACCTCGATCGTAGCCCCCTTCCACTGCCCACTCTCTACTTCTATTCCTCTCTCCACCTTCAATTTCCTCATTTAAGTTGCCTTCATATCCCTCAAAACCTCTCGTTTCAAGTTCACTTTATCCAATTTTGCTCTCAATCCCACGTGAATTCAACAAGAGAAGATTCAAGAAACTCCGTAAGCAATTTCTGAGTTGCCCAAGTGCCGAAATGCATTTAGAAATATGTACTAGAATAATCACTAATTTAACTGTGCAGAAAAGGCAAACTTAACCAAAAAAAAAAAACCCAAGAAACTCAAGGTATGCAGAATAAGCTTTTGCGCCCTCTGGAATGTGAAGATAAAATCCAACTATAAAATAAAGTGATTCTTGGAGATGAGAGAGAGAGGGAGAGATGAAGAGCGGATAGAAACATAGATAAAGGAAAAGGGGGAGGGGTGGTAGCAAAGGCTGGGCACTGTTGACATTGGCTACAATCCTCTTCCTCCTAGTTTTTAGTTTTTTTAAGGCTTAACTGCTACAGTGCCTCCTAAAACATTGGTCAATTCCCACTACACCCCCTTAAAGTTAAAGTGACCCACTTTCCTCCCTTGACCGATGTTTTGTGTCTCACTTTGCCCCTCACCATCAAGTTTGTTAAAAATTCTGTTAAAAAAGCTGATGTGGCATCAATGGGACCCACTATTTTGCTAAACTAAGTGCCATGTGTAAATGAAAAAAAAATAATACAAAATGGAAAAATTAATAAATAAAAAATATATCTTCTTCTCCCCTCCCTAGAAGCCTTCGTCACTCTCTGATGTGTCTCTCCCTCTTATTTCTCCACCATCTGATAGCACCCTATCCCCTGCCCCAGCCCCAGCCCTACCCCTAGTCGTGACCCACAACCCCATCCCTACCGACAATCCAACACCAGCGCACTGACCCCCTTCATCCCCCCCTCTCTCTCTCTCTCTCTCTCCAATTTGGCCCTCCAACTAACCCCACCACAGCCGCTAATCATCCCTCCACCACCACCATAACCTAAAACTAGATATTCTCCAATATACAGCTTTGTTCATCAATCGATTTTTAATAACTTGGAGATAGCTATAGATTTTACCATTCCCAACTTCAAGTTCTGTTTCTCACAAATATCATCAAATAAGCCATAATAAGTGAAAATAAAATTGAAATAGGTCTTGGTGGGTGGGCTGGGTTGGAGTGTTTTTTTTTTATTTAAAATTTTAAATTTTGCAGATCTGTTGGCTGTGTATTGTAATAAATTCTGAGCAATGTGGTATTTTGCTTGCACTAAATTTTTGGGGTTGGACTTGAGACAGAGAGAGACAGAGAGACAGAGAGAGAGAGATAGGTGGGGTGTCTTGAGAAGTTTTTTGTGGTGGGAGGGTCGTAAGAGTTGGTTGCTGGGTGGGTGATATTGGGTAGTGGCATGTTAGATGGTGGTCATGGTGGGAGGGGGAGGGCACGGGAGAGAGAGGGGGAGTGCACGAGAGTTAAAAAGGGGTTTTTTGTTATTTATTATTAATTTTTTCATTTTGTATTTGTTATTTTAAAAAGGAATGGATTTTTTAATATTTTGACTGAATTACCCCTTCATACATGGCACTTAGTTTAGTAAAATAGTGGGTCTCATTGGTGCCATGTCAGCATTTTTAACGGAATTTTTAACAGACTTGACGGTGAGGGGCAAAGTGAGACACAAAACATCGATCAAGGGGGCAAAGTGGGTCACTTTAACTTTAAAAGGGTGTAGTGGGAATTGACCAATGTTTCAAGGGGCACTGTAGCACTTAAGCTTTTTTTTAATTATTTATGAACTGGGAGGGGGGGTAAAACCCCAAGAAAACAAAGCAACTACTCACTACATACCAACCGAGTCCAAGTGACTCCTAGCATATCATCAATAAGACTAGAGCAAATCCAACTCGGAGCCATATCAAGAAAACAAACACCTAGATCCAGATTGTAGCTCAACTGAGCAACACAATCAGCAACCACATTTCTTTCTCTATAAACATGCTAAAGAGCACAAGTATCAAACTTTCCCATAAGCTCCCAGTGGCTTGAACCTGTTGACGTGAGTTAACCTACTAAATCAAGGATATTTATTTCCTAAGTTAATTAGGTGATTTACTTCCTTGTTTTATATGGTTGACACATCCTTGTATAATTAGTAGATATTCTCCTAATTAATTACTGTATCTATTTACTTGTAAAGTACACTTGTAAACTCCTATATATACCTCATGGTGGAGAAGAATACAATTAATCTAAAGTATTCAAACCATATTCATATTTTAGCATGGTATCAGAGCAATCGATCATAAGTTGTCTCTAATCCCACAAATCATACCCTCAAATTCAAACCCGAACCCTAAATCAAATTTCTTACCTCTCAAATCAAATCCTCTTATCAAACTCCTTAAACACATACCTCTCAAATCAAATTCCCCAATCAAATTCCTAAATCAAATTCATACATCAAATTCCCCAAATTCTCAAATCAACCAATTAAACACAAACACACACTCATATCAAATCTTACTTCCGCTGCGATGTCAAGACCCTGTACGATTCACTCCCTCCTTGCAGACTCACAGAAGCAGTCACTCTTGCTGAACCGGCTACCCGACTTGTGCTTCTATTGCCACCACCAAAGGTTCTACTTTTCATACGCCCTCTCCAAAGCCAACTTAGATTACTGACTCGAGTGCTACAGATCACATGATATTTGATCCTGATCAAGTTATTAGTCGCACACCAACCACTCAGTCGATGGTGTCTAATGCTAATGGTACCTCCTTCTCTGTGGTTAGGGAGAGCTCTCTATCTCTCTCTAATTCCATACATCTGGATTCTATATTATTTGTTCCATCCTTGGACCATAACTTGTTGTCTGTTGCACAACTTACTACTACTTTATAGTGTATTATAACATTTTGGCCGAATTATTGTGTTTTTCAGGACATCCTCACGGAGAAGACGATTGGTTGTGGTACTAGGCTAGACAAACTCTACTACTTGGATTGGGCACAGGATAGTGAGACCAAGGTTGGTCAAGTTTTCACAACAAGTGGAGCTAGTTCTAAGAGGCAGAGAGATAAAGTTTGGTTATGGCATAAACAACTCGAATATGCCTTGTTCGGTTATTTGAAGAAGTTGTTTCCATCATTATTTTCCAGTTTTGATGTTTCCAACTTCCAATGTGATACATGTG